GTGTTGCTTCCTCCGTCCCTCATTATCTTTCAAGATGTTAAACCTTAAAAGGGGGAAAGGATTTCAGAAAAGTGCGGCTTATCCGCTTTTGAAAACGTTACTTGAAGGCAGAAAAATCCGTGCAGTCCATTTTCGAAGCCTCTCTAGTAGGGCGGAAAAATCCGTTCTGTCCAGTTGGAGGGTTAATGGCCGTCCATCTAAAAAAAACCCAAATCAAATTTTTCAAACCAATACAGGTAGGAATGGTAATTTTAGATATATCAAAAGTTCTAATGTATTCTTTTCACTATGAGTACATGAAGCACCGTTATGACTCAAAAGTACGGCTCATGTATACAGACACCGATTCTTTTATATATGAAATAAAAACTGATGATTTTTATAGTGACATGAAAGAGGATATTAACTTATATGATACTTCAGACAATGATGAAAGCAACATTTATAATTTACCTCTTGTTAACAAAAAAGTCATCGGGAAAATGAAGAATGAAAATAAAGGAAATATTATGACAGAATATGTAGGATTAAAATCGAAAATGTATGCCTACAAAACAAACAATAAGATTGAAAAGCGGTTAAAAGGAATTAAAAAACAAACTATAAAAAATAAAATAACATTTGAGGACTACAAAGCTTGTCTTTTTAATGAAAAAATAAAATATGTTGACATGAACTTAATTAGATCCAAATTTCATTCATTACTTTCAATAAAGCAAAACAAACTTGCTCTGTCATATAAAGATGACAAAAGGTTTATTAATGGTGATGGCATTACTACTCTTGCGCATGGTCATTGGTCGTTGATGAATTTAGACCTTTTTAATGAGCTGTAGGACATAAAATCCAATAATGTGATTTTTTTTGTGTGTATAAATAATTGATTGTAATGTAAAACGGAATGCTGTTTTTGTAAATAAACAACTTACTTTGTATCTTTACTGTACATGTATAATCATTACACTGAAATAAATTTTACAAATTGTTGTTCTGTAATGTAAATATACGATTGTAATGTAAAACGCAATACAAGATGTTGATTTCTGAATAAACAATTTACTTTGTATCTTTACTGTGTGTGTGTAATCATTATATTGAATTAAAACTTACACATTATTAAAATAATATAAATTAAATATTTTTTATTTCATTTTAATTAAGAAAATGATTTTAAAACACGTCGCCATCTGCTTCGCCCTGGAAAAGCCGTCTTGTAGAATCAAGATCAGACAAGCTAAAACAAGTTAAATCGTAACCCGTTCACGCTGATGACGAGTATACTACGGCACATTTTTCTGAATAATCAATTTACTTTGTATCTTTACTGTGTGTGTATGTAATCATTATACTGAATTAAAATCTACACATTATTAAAATAATAATATAAATTAAATTTTTTTAATTTCATTTTAATCAAGAAAATGATTTTAAAACATGTCGCCGTCTGCTTCGCCTGCAAAATTAAATTCATGAGATTATAAACATAAGTTTTCTTCAGGTCTGTATGCCTTCATAGGATAATGGTTAGCGTAACTGAAAAACTATTGTCCTGTGGAGACATTTTGATCTGAGTCCGTGAGTTTGAATCTGGATTTTTTTTATTTGAGCGTTATTTACTTCAATCATTTTAAAATCTATAATTAGTGTATATTTTAATCAATAGGTGGCGCCATGAGCACGTTTAACATTCCCATACTTCCATTTTTTGTGCACATTTTTTAAAAACAACTCAACTTAGCTGTAGAAAAAAACAATTCAACTCGCCCCCTCAACTCGAAAATCAAAGCCAATGCAGGAGAAAAACAACTCAACTCGTCAGTAGGAACGAAACAACTCAACTCAACAGGATAAAACAACTCAACTCGGCAATATGAACGAAACAACTCAACAGGAGAAAACAACTCAACTCAGCAGCAGGAACGAAACAACTCAACTTGTCTGTAGGAACGAAACAACTCAACTCTGCACTGCCGTCGACCGCCTACAAGCGCCTGCAACCGCCTACAACCGCCTGCACACCGCCTGCACCGCCTTTACAGCAGAATAGGCTTTTTCTACCAACTCACGACAATCTGACACGATTAGTTCGGACAGTCATCTTGAGACACTATATGAAAGACAGAGGTCGAGTAATAGGTCAAGTAGATCGCAACCAAGAAAATTCAAAGGATCTAGGAAAGCATCGAGTGAGGAGAGTAACGGTAGTAAATCAAATAAGGGTAATGCCGGATGGGAGGATCCGAGATTGAAACGTAAAGTAGAGTCAAATGGATCAGAGGACAGGAAGGATTTAAAGAGGTCCAAAATTTGCAGAAAACGTTCTCTGCAGGGGTCCGAACATTGGGACCAGAAAAGACCAACCCCTGAACCAAAACAGGGGATAAAAAGAGCAATTCCATCCTCGGTTTCATCTCGAAATTATAAATATAGAAGACCTAATAACCCCTCCCAGGGATCACAGTCCATTGCGGGTCCCTCTCATCCAAGAGATTCCAGGCAGGACAAGCCACCTACAGAAGGGAGCAGGCACGAAGGAAGTGGACAATACGACAAGGCCCGGGAGACAAGGGCAACTATTAACGGAACCAACAGGGCAGCTGAGAGGAGACCTGTCCGGTCTAAACAGGTGACAGCAGTGAGACCTTGTCCGTACTACCTACGCAGCCGAGTAAGACAGCCCGAAGGATTTCCAGAGGAGCGGAAGAACATCGGAATTGAAAGTATCCCACAGAACAACATCAGGAGAACGAGCCTCAGTATGGAAGCCTTAGACGGAGATCCAGTGGATAGGAGCGAATAAAGGACAAAGAAAAATATCAGGTTGTATCGTTTCTTTCTTTTCTCCTTTTGAACAAGTGGTCGGAAGAATTATTGCAATGAAGCAAGTCACGGGCGGATTTTTAATTTAAGAAGCCAAGCAAAAGTGGACACTACAATGAGTGTTTTTTATGAGAAAAATCAGCTTTTGTATTAATTTTTTTTGTATAAATATGAAGAAAACATTTGTAAGAATGCATTTGTTTACTTCTATGTATGACTTCGCTAAGATGCGACAATTCCTTTGGTTGTTTATTTTATTGTTTTTTGAAAAATGTTTGAAATTGTATGTATATATATGTGTATATTTTATCTCACATCTGGTGACTTGGGACGCGGCGTAATTAGGTAGAGCTAACATTTAATACTAACAAGCGCAGCATGTATGGAATGGGAATGTTAAGGAACCAGATGCTTCAATTGATGTATATGAAAATGTTATGTAAAAAATGAAGGAATCTGTATATACTATAGATGTTTGTTTTTCACACAAAGAAATTCTCATTTCAGGGTAGCTGACCCTGAGCATTGTATAGTGAACAAAGAATCAAGATGCAAGTCCGAATATGTTTGTATAATATTTAAGTAGATTTATAAGTAGTTAAGTAAACCATGCAGGCAGGTTTTTTACCATTTCGGTGGTTTTTCCCTCGCCTCAGAACCAAATGGGCGTGGTGTAGGGAAATTTAATTCTGTAAATGTTACTTCCTTTAAAGTGTAGTTTTAGGTCGTAATCCCCCCCCTTTCCCTTAAGGAAGGAGATATTTTTTAGTATCCGATTGGTAGATATATATTAAAGTGGTCGGGACTATAAATCAAGTCTAGGAATTGGTTACGTAATTTATTTTCAGGTCATTTGTGACCTTCGAATAAATGCCGTTTTCTTTTTGGAGGGGATGGTGACGAATCTGTCCGGAACCTTTCCACTAATCTTCTTAGGCGTCTTTTTGGGGAATATAAATTCGCGTTTATTTCCAATCAACTCCAAAAGGATGTACGGGATATTTAAATTAGATAAGGTATTTAAGTCGAGCGTTGCGAGATAGCAAGAGAGATGATGGAAGGCTATTGAGCAGCAACTTTAAACGCATTTTCAGAAGATTCAAGGAGATTAGATTCGTCAAGACGTCGTGTTGCTAGACGTACCAGAAAGCTGATATAAGCCAGCGGTAAATATAATTTATGTAAGCTTAAAATAAGCGTCAGTTTAAGCGACTTAGTTAAAGTTAATGAAAGTTAAGAATTCGAGTACGTGTATTTCTCGGATCTCCTATTTCGGTAAACCTTACTTGAGCTTAAGCTTAATTATTAATTAATTGCATTATTAATAATTTAATTTAATATAAAGGCAAATCCCTTTAAGCTTCGTAACATGATATTATTATTTGTTATCAGAGATTTTTTTGAGAAAATTATAATAATAAATAAATATTATTATTGTTCAAAATTGCTCTTAGTGGTTCTTTGCCTCAAATTAATCTTGGTATCCAAAGTGAGACCCCAGCGCTGGACCCCCAGCAAGTTCGGCGCTGGGCTCTTCCCTTTTCGCTCACCGCTACTGGGGGAATCACTGTTGTTATCTTTTCCTCCGCTTACTGATATGCTTAAGTTCGGCGGGTGGTCTCGTTTGATCCGGGGTCGCTTACACGGGTTAAAAAAAAATTTTTTTTTTTTGAGATTTTTCGGGTCGGATCCCTGGCTTTCCACCTTCCGGCAGATCCCTGGGGACCCGGACCCGGCCTTCTCTGAGCCCATGGACATGGCATCCGAAAGGGCCGACTCGGACTTTGCGGACAGGATTCCTCTGCAAGCTTCACGCGACCCTCGGACAGGCGAAGCTCCCCCCAAATGGGCAAGGAGCCGCAATGTGCGCTCGAATAATTAGTGATCTGAGTGTTCTGCAATTCACACCAAATCTCGCAGCTGGCTGCGTTCTTCATCGACCCGCGAGCCGAGTGATCCACTTCACGGAGCTGTACGATGCGACAATTTACAGTCCGCCGCACGAGACTTCAGTTCCACTATAGTTATGCGACTCGGGCGGTGCGCAAAGGAACGCATCTCTTTGAGTCGTGCCCTTGGAATTCCCAGAACATCCCATCCTGCCGACCGTCGGCCGGAAAAAGGCACTCTGATAGCGCCGCTTACCTCCACCTATCGGGTATAATGATCATTGCTTGGTCAATGATCCTTCCACAGGTTCACCTACGGAAACCTTGTTACGACTTTTACCTCCTCTAAACGGCCAAGTTCGGTCTTTTTCCGCGTCACACCCGGTCCTTCGACGAGGAAGGACCAGCGAGCTCGTCCGAAGACCTCACTCCACCGCTCGATCAGAGATAGCGACGGGCAGTGTGTACAAAGGGCAGTGACTTAGTCGGCACGAGTTAATGACTCGCGCCTACTAGGAATTCCTCGTTGGAGGGGAACAATTACAATCCCCGATCCCTAGCACTGAGAAGGACTGCTCTGGTTACCGAGGCCGACAGGCCAAGGTACTTTCAGCACGTTGTCCGCTCTACTGTAGCGCACGTGCGGTCCCGGACATCTTGGGGCATCACAGACCTGCAATCGCTCCTTTTCGTACGGCTTCTAAGAAGACTTTTCCTCTACTATTAAGAAAATAATCATATTTAATAAGCAAGAATCTCGTCCGTTTATCGGAATTAACCAGACAGGACACCCCACGAACCAACTGTGGCCATGCACCACCATCCACAAACTCTAAAAAGAACCATCAATCTGTTCAACCGATAACACGTCCGGGGCCGGGTAAGTTTTCCCGTGTTGAGTCAAATTAAGCCGTAGGCTCCACTCCTGGTAGTGCCCCTCCGTCAATTCCTTTAAGTTCCAGCTTTGCAACCATACTTCCCCCGGAGCCGGAACTCTGGTTTCCCCGGAAGAGCTGCCCTGCGCGTCACGTTCGTACGCAGCCGGATCGCTGGCGGGTATCGTTTAGGGTACAAGACTACAAAGGTATCTAATCTTCTTTGAGCCTCACACTTTCGTTCTTGGAATGTAATGCAATCTAAGTTTTTCATCCACTTCCCGAACTACCGAAATAGGTGAATTTTTACACACGTGATTGATTTTAATACATACACACAATCAAAATAAGGTAGCCAGTATTAAAGTTTACTTTTTTTTAGAACATAATAAGCGTACTTTTGTAGTCTTTTTCAATTCCTACTATTAGCTCACTCTCTCTATATTTATATATTTACCAGCTGCATGGCCGGCGTTGCACGAGCTATCTCTACTTTTATAAATTTTCCCTTTCTTTCACAAAATCAGAACTTCTGAAGCAAATTTTCAAAATGACTTCCCCACCTCCACCGCTTAGCCCAGCGTTGCTCGTGCTTTCTCTTTTCCTCGTGACACCAGAATTCCTCTGTGTGTGTTTATACTCTTACAATGTGAGTGATTTCTAAAATTATGTCAAAAAATTTCCCTTTTTCGAAATTTGTTCCATTCAACTTATTTTTGATTTAAGACAGGTTTCTTTTCCTTCTCTATAGCCCGAACTTTGTTTTTTTTAGTGTAAAATTATTGTTCTATCTTCCCCTCCTTCTCACAGAGAAGAAACAGCTTCAAATTTCGATGTATAACTTATAAAAAAATATTTCGTTAGAATTAAAAAAATTCTTAATGTGAAGCAATAAAAAGAAAACGATTCCGATGCTAAGAGTAAAACAAAAAACGTTCATCATTTTATAATAATAGTTAGTTTCTAAGAATCTAAAAAAATAAATTAGATTTCAGATTTTCATGAATCAATCAATCGTTACAAATAGTTAGCTTAAAAATGTCTCTAAAATGTATTTTGATCCAAAATAATAGACGATGTACTTTTTAATTAACAAAGAATTAATTTCGTAATAAAATAATAGAAATAATTCTTTTAAAAACATATAAATTGTTACGAATTTTGTGTAAACACTGTAAATAATTTGTATTTGAGTGTTTAATGCATTTATATTACTCTATGTTATATTTATTTCATGTTAAAATTGTATATACTATTCACAAGCAATGCCGCCCCTTACGTTATAATGGCGATTCAATGAGAACTTGGCGAAATGGCATCATTTTTGGAGACCAAGTTGGCACCTTTGGCGACCATTTTGGCGTCATTGGTTACCATTTTGGCGAGTTCGGAAGCCTCTGGAATCTTCTAGAACGTAGTAGATTTCTCCACTAGTGTCACGTTCAATGACACGAACGGTTATATTTCTGGAAGTTTCTGTCGCACCTATAAAACGATGCTCGTCGGTACGGCGAAGAGTCTTGATTAAGCCAGCGAGTAATGAGGATTATTTTGACTAGCGATTAACTAGGCTGTGCTTGTGAATAATCTTTACTTACGTGTATTTTTAAACACTAGTGATTGTGTTTGATTGCTGTTGAAGGTGTGACTGGATATTTACCCTGTGAATACTGCTGCTGAATCCTGTATTTAAAGGATTGTGTTTCGTCAATATTTGTGTGGACTGTAAAACTGGTTAAAGAATAAAAAATCAGTCTTTTTTGCAACGCTAAGCCTACTTTATTCGTGCACCCGCTTTTGTTAGGGTACAGCTAGACAATGTCTACCTTTACAAATTTTTTTACAGATGGCGCTACAGTGCGCTGATGACGTAACATTCCGCCCGGCGTTGAAATATACAATATTTCAAAAAATATATTTAAAAAATGCAATTTGCTATATACAGTTTACAAATGCCTAAATGAATTAAATACAAATAAACACAACATTCTAAAATAAGAAGAAAAAAAATACAATATTCAAAAATAGAAAAATACAATATTCTAAGAATATAATATACTTCACATTAAATTTAATTTATATTATTATTTTCTATTGGTAAGATACATATTTTTGAGATAGAACGTGTGAGAACCCCGTGGCAGTTTTTAGTTTAACGACTCTGACCTTACCGTCAGTTCCATAAATAACCTCCAAGATTCTTGCCATTGCCCATTTGTAGGGAGGCAAATCATTTTCCTTTAAAAGCACTAAACACCCTACGGCAACATTATTTTTCTCGAACTGCCACTTGTTTCTCTGCGGTAAATGATTAAGATAATCATTTTCCAGCGTTTCCAAATAGTTTGTACACACTTTGTTGTATACTGCCACCTAGATAGTCTATTATCTGAAATATCTAAAATTGCGGGCTCAGGTATTGCACTGATAGGTCGACCAATTATAAAGTGTCCAGGAGTTAAAACTTCATATTCATTGATATTATCTGACAATGGTACTAATGGACGTGAATTAAGTATACCTTCAATTTGAATTATTATTGTCTCGAATTCTTCGAAAGTTATTTTACTATTAACTAAAGTTCTATAGAGATGGTGTTTGAATGATTTTACCCCCTGCCTCCCACAAACCCCGAAATTAGGAGAACGAGGTGGGATAAATTTCCACTGGATAGCTTCTGAAGCAAAATAATTTGCTAATGTCTTGTTTTTGTTACAAATTAATTTTATGAAACGATTTAATTCTGCAGCTGCGCCTTTAAAATTAGTTGCGTTATCGGACATTAATGTAGAAATGCGGCCTCTACGGGCACATAGCCTCTTCAAAGCTGCAATAAATGCCTCAGTTGTTAAATCAGTCACTGCCTCTAAATGAATAGCCTTTGTAGCCAAGCATACAAAAATCGCAACATAAACTTTTGAAAATATCCCCTTTCTCTGATTTTTAAATTTTATTTGAAAAGGTCCGCAAAAATCCACCCCTAGAGTTTAAAAATGGTGCACTTGGAGTTACTCTCTCTGATGGTAAATTTCCCATTAATTGATCTACCCCAGTAGGCTTCTGTCTAAAGCATGCAATGCAATCATGAACTGTTTTTCGTGCAACACCCTTGCCATTAAGGGCGTCGGAAAGGTAAAATTTGATTTTTTTGACAATTTGAGATTTTTACATTTCCACATAGTACAGATTTTAACCTTTCTAAAAATACCTTACTTTAACCTCTAGGGTAAGTAGAAGCCCTAAAAACCTATTTTTAAATAATCGGCCACGCCCATTTGACAAGCGTAAAAGTAAACAAAGTTTTTTGTTTTGGCTTAAAAGTTGAGCGTCTGGTATAAATCAAAACATTTATCTTTTATTGTATAAATTGAGCCTTTTATTATTTTATTTCCTAACCCATTTGAAACTTCACTGTATTTTTAACGGTCAAATCAGTGTTTGTTTACACTTTCAAAACTGCGTTATAATTTTTGAACTCGCAAGTATTCTTTAACATTATTAAGCTTAAACTTTCAAAAAAATTGCTATAATATATCGACTTTACCATGCCTAGAGCATCGACTAAAGTATTTAAGAAATGAAGAGGATTTTTAATAAAGGAAGATGTAATAAAAGTAATGATGGTTGTGGTGAAAGCAATTCTACTGTTCCAAAGAACTCTGCTGATGAAAAGAATTGTGCTGATGGTGCAAAGCTTTGTACTAATGAAACTGAACCATCTGCCAGTGAGAGAAAAATTGTAAACATGGATATTTCATATTCGGATGAGGCTTTTTCAGGTTTCAGAAATGTTATTGTGGACATTAACCTTTTAGCTTGTGTGTTTTTTGAAGCTGTAAAATGTATAAAGTGTGAAAAAACAGGACTCAGGTTGCACCTCAGTGAAAGTAACTGTGGTGAAGCTGTGAAGTTTCACTTAAAATGTCCTTCTTGTAAATATATAACTATACTTTTTTTAACTCCAAGAAATGCGATAGTTCTGAGAATTACGAACTGAATACCCGGCTAGTGTATGCTATGCGATGCATAGGTAAAGGTGCTGAGTCTGCTAGGATGTTTTGCGGTATCATGAATCTTCCCCCGCCACCCACAAAATTCTCAAAGTACAACCACATTTTACTGCAGGCAACAAGAGAAACCTGTGAACACAGTATGGCAGAAGCTGTTCGTGAAGCCGTTGATGAAAATGATGGAAAAAGGGACCTTGCTGTTGCTGTTGATGGTAGCTGGCAGAAGCGTGGTTTTTCTTCGAAGAATGGCTTGGTGACAGTCACAAGTGTTGATACCGGCAAAGTTATAGATGTCGAAGTTTTTTCAAAACATTGTAATGCCGCACGCATAATTTGCTACAAGTCCCGATAGCCGAGTTGGCAGAGCGTTGGACTGAACTTCCTCAGGTCTCGGGTTCGAATCCCGGCCCCGGCAGATTTATCCAAAGACTGGAATTTTGTTCTCGTTTTTAATGTATTGTTTCTCTAGGTTCTAGATGAATCCAGATCATTCTTTAGAGTGCATACTGGGTATTTCTCGAATGTTCCGAAGTGTATAAAAGCAGAGTTCATCGCCAGTTGGGGATGTTCTCAGTCCAGTGTTGTATCGAGCTCCCAGCGTTAGAATAAATCTAATTGTTTGTTTAATTGAACTGTGTACTTCTTTCGAACTCCGTGACAAGTTTGGTGGAGGCGCGGGGTACAATTACGTCAAACGTGGATAATAGCAACAACCTTCGCAGGAGCCTCCGGTTAAGAGGATTATCCCCCGAATTCGGACTGTTAAAAGAAAATAGTAGGAAGAGGACAAAAATGCCGACCGATCAAGAAGCCAAGCCCGCTGTAGTAACACCTTCGTTACAGCAATGGAGGAGCCCATCGACCTTCCGAGGAGCGCCTGGGGAAGACCCTCTCAAATGGCTTAAAGAGTACGATCGAGTAGCCAACTTTAACAAGTGGGATGACATGATGTGCCTGGCTAACGTTTATTTCTTTCTTGACGGTACTGCGAGACAGTGGTATGTCAACAACGAAGACGCCTTAGATTCCTGGGAAGCGTTTAAAAATGGACTAAGTGGACTTTTCGGTGATCGTCAAAAATATACCAGAAGGGCAGAAGAACAACTAAAATGCCGAGCCCAGCGTTCAGGCGAGAGTACACAGTCCTACATACAAGGTGTATTAGGACTTTGCCAAGAGGTAAATCCTCTGATGAAAGAAGACGAAAAAGTGTCACACCTAATGAAAGGTGTTGCTGA